CGATCTACCTCGTCCCTTCTCCAATCCCTAAATCGTCTCCTAGATCCTCTCGCCGACCCACCAAAATGGACAAACCCAAGATCTGAAAGCTTTTGTCTTTATCTTCCCCAATCGCGTATTTCGGAGCAGAATCGATACACCCAGTAGCCAAAGCTTGGATTTTTTAAGGGTTTTAGGGTAGAAGAAGAAGCATGGTGGGTTTGGGTGAAAGTTGGAGAGATGCGTATAAGGGAATGTCTTCGGATAATATAAAGGGTTTAGTGTTGGCAATATCTTCGAGCTTATTCATAGGTGCTAGTTTCATCGTTAAGAAGAAAGGACTCAAGAGAGCTGGTGCTTCCGGTCTCAGGGCAGGTGATTCATTCTCTTGCTTCGTGACTGAGATTGATCTTTTTATACGATTTCGTTTGAACATCTGGAGATCGATTTGAGATCTGTGGTTGCTTCACTTGGAATGCTTGCTATAATGGAGTAACCGAAACCAATATTCGTTGGTGTTTTAGTGTGTCTGTTAAGTGGCAAAGATTTGGAATTTTTGTTTCTGCTAGTTTTAGATTCAAATGCAGCATTCTTCTAAAGACTTCTAGTGGATCATTCTGTAACGATGACAGATCTTGTACCCTCTATGAAGCGATCACAAATCACGTAGATATCGCTCTTATATTGTCTCATTGCTGGTTTTGGTGATGGAATTTTGTAGGTTCTGGAGGTTATACTTACCTGCTTGAGCCTCTCTGGTGGGTAGGCATGATAACGAGTGAGTTCCCTTCATATTTAAAGGTTTGGTTTAGTTTTGTTTTCCTTTTTTGGGGTATCAGTTAGCTTGTGGTCTCTGTAGATTGGCTTTGTAGCTCTTGGAAGATGGTGACAGTATAAGTAGTTGTTGGCATTTCGGTAGTGTTGATTGTAGAAACAATGTTTGGTTGTTTTGCAGTGATTGTCGGGGAAGTTGCTAATTTTGCCGCTTATGCTTTTGCGCCTGCCATTTTAGTGACTCCTCTTGGCGCCCTCAGCATTATTATCAGGTTTGGATAATAAGTTAAAGATTTATCTCTCTAGCTATTGAATCGTAGATCACTTTACTTGTCCTCTATTAGAAATTCAGCTAAGAACTATCCCTAATTTTGTGGCCTAGTCAAATACTGTGATGCACACTGATGCTATTAATCAGAAGTTGTGTATTAGAAGTAATAGTAATCAAACTTTTTCTGGTGGGAATTTCCAGCGCTGCTCTTGCTCATATCATCCTACGCGAAAAGTTGCATACTTTTGGGCTCCTTGGTTGTGTCTTATGTGTTGTTGGTTCGATAACAATCGTCTTACATGCTCCTCAAGAACAAGACATTGATTCTGTGTTACAAGTTTGGAATCTTGCAACAGAACCTGGTACCATTTAATCTCTTTTCTAACCCAATTTCATCCCGTCTTGAGCGATTTTGATTAATGTGCTCTAAGCCATGGTGTTATGTCTTCTGCAGCTTTTCTTCTCTACGCTGCAGCAGTGGTAGGAGCAGCCATTATACTCATAGTTCAGTTCATACCACAGTACGGACAGTCTCATGTCATGGTCTACATCGGGGTTTGTTCTCTGGTGGGATCATTATCGGTACGTACCCAAAACTTACAATCTAACGTGTATATTCCTTTCACTTTGTAATTTGAATACTAAGTTTTTGAGCGGTGCGAGCAGGTCATGAGCGTTAAAGCACTCGGGATAGCATTAAAGCTTACGTTCTCAGGAATGAATCAGTTAATCTACCCTCAGACATGGGTCTTCACATTGATAGTTCTCATCTGTGTGATAACCCAAATGAACTATTTAAACAAGGTAGAGGTAGCCTCAAGTTTCATTTCGATATCTCTTACGAAATCAGGAACTTCATTTTGTTTCTGTTTGTTTTGTCTTGATGACAGGCGCTTGACACATTCAACACGGCTGTGGTTTCACCGATATACTATGTAATGTTCACGTCGCTGACCATCGTGGCTAGTGTCATCATGTTTAAGGTTAATTATTAATATCACTTGGTTTTCAACATGTTCCCTTTATCTCAATCTGTTTTGGTAATTAGAGATAGTGACAATGGTGAAGTTTTGTTGAACAGGACTGGGATCGACAGGATGGAACTCAGATTGTGACGGAGTTGTGTGGGTTTGTGACAATCCTTTCAGGAACCTTTCTGCTTCACAAAACAAAGGACATGGTTGAAGGTAAGTGAGCTCTTTTGGATGGATGGATGTAAAATGAAATGTGAGAATGTTTCTGCAATTTCCATTTAACAAATGTCCAACGCAGGTTCTTCGTCCTCAGGAAATTTGCATATCCGTCTTCCTAAACATTTGGAAGATGGTAACGGGTTTGAGCAAGAAGGGATCCCACTCACTCTGAGACGCCAGGAGTGTACCAAGTCACCAAGGCCAATGCGTCACCTAATTCTACCCCAAGACGGCCCTGAAGCTGTGTAGAGAGAGAGAGACAAAAGACACGATATATGTATACCACGAGGCAGCAGAGACAGGCGTAAAGGACTCACTTCTCAGGAAGAAGAAAGGAGAAGAGGAGCATGAATGTTACGAGTTGCATAGGAAATTTCCACACTTTGATGATAATCATTCTTTTTCTTTTGTTTTTCTTAGATTTTTAATACTCAAGATATGTGAAATGTGTCAGCAGATTGATTAACTGTTATATATACACACAAGCTTGACCCTTCTCAATTGGGTTTTGTCGCCACCAAAAAAGATATGTCGAAGTTTTGGAATCAGATTCAAAAACTATGACTTAAACCCGATTTTAGACAACACAGGGCCACTGCAAAACCAAAACCAAACACAAATTTGGGTCCGATAGATAGAAATCAGATTCAGTAAAAGACAGAAAACCACACAACTTTGGCTCATCTTTTCTCTTTTGTTTCAGAAGAATAATATATAATCAATGAGTATCATTTTTCTTTTAATGGTTTTTGGTTGCATGATAGTGATACAGACAAAAACAAAGCAATGAATTGAATAAAAATGGAGGACCCTTTCACGAATCATATCGAATCAAGGCCCTTCTTCTCCTTTCAAAGTTTCAACTCGTAACGCCGCCTACATCTACAAATCAACTCACATTGTGTTCGTATACCTCTTCTGGTTGTTGCCAAGCAACAGGCTCGGTCCAATGTACAACATCTGGATCTTGCTGCAGCAGTTTTAAGTCATCCGAGAAAAGAAACGTGGCTTTTCTCCAAGTGACACTGAATATATAGCAGTAAGGCCACAAGTAATCTACAGAACGGATAAACCTCGGCACAGCTTAAGAAGTTTGTTTATTGTATCGCTGCTTGTATAAGGTTTCGCTTCTCTTCTGATCTGTGACGGAACAACTTTGCAATCTTTCTTCTTTCGCAGTCCTGAAATTCAAATTACGAAACAAACAAAACATATGGAAACTTAGAAATCTCGTTATGGATACTCTTTACTACTCAGACTTATGATATGTATCTAATTCACAATTCCAATGATATGAACCATTACATAAGATATGGTTCTTGTACTAACCCATACCCATCTTAGACTTAGTATAATCATTTCCTACTGACCCATGCAGTTGAATCATCGATGGCCAATCAGCTTACAAGGTCAACATGTGACCGTTACATATTACCATGGGTTTCATCACTAGACAAGCCAGTTACTGCATTTGGGGTTTGGGTCTGATACTAGTTTATAGGACTTCAGTCCATATCATGTCAAGAAAACTTTCGACTTTACCCCAAACCCAGCTTACACAAGGAGGCCACCCATTATTTTACATAAGCATCACGCAGCTTATTGCTAGGTTGAATGCAAAATTATAACCTTTGGAAATTTTCAAATGGATATATCTACCTTGAACATGTGAAGATTAAATGGTTTGTCAGGATTCATCCTTCTTAGTTTCTGATATGTATAGGCAAAGCTCAGCTGATCCCGGGGAGTGAAACGTTCCACTTCATTGAACCAAAGACAGGAAAAAAGGTTCGACATAGGAGTATGTGCCCGTACTATGAAAGATCCCTCTGGAACATCTGCGAACAAGATAAAATGAGGACTGTAAGTGATGAAGAGAAAAACATACAAATTTATTGATCGACTCTTGCATGGTAGCAATAAGGATTTGACCCACGAAGAGCATATAACCTAATTACTGGAATAACAGCAGACTGCAAAAACTATTGAGATACCATGACCAATTATGTAGTTGCTATTGCATGGGAAAACTCAACAAGTTCAATTATCATAAACTTTATAATGCTAAATCAGATTTCAAAAACCCCCTTTTGCATGTTATGGCCACTAAATACTGCAACACACTCCCCAAGCAAGGTTCTAATACTGGTTTGTATCAATTATAAAACAAAATCTTACTGCTAGGAAGAAGCTTGAACGGATCCGAGGCGTTAAATCTGGTCAGTCCATCAGCCTTGTAAAACTCAAACTGCTGATTAATAACAGTATGGTTGTACTTGTTCAGCCTCTTGTTTTGTGCAACCTCTTCCCATAAACAGTGGCGGTCATAATGATTGGAGATAGCATACTCATGACCTTTACGCCATAGGAAGTACTCCAGAATGAGTAGAGGATCCAACTGAAGTCGTAACTTGCTGTCCAACCAGATGGAGTACCTGCAAGAGTAAACAGCAAATGAGTTTCTGAGTGTGTTAATACAGATTTGGTCTGACTTGAGAAGCTTTTCGGCCGGTATTGTATATCGCAATCAGATGCATATGTCCAGAGAAACTACTTTTAAGATCAATCTTTTATGTACTTGACTTTTGTCTTTTTGGCTCAGAATGAAAATTATACATATGCTTTATAACTGATGTTCTTTCTGATAATCTTTTTCAATTACACTCAACCATGACCCACTGATCTGTTGTCTAACTGCAAATGCTGGAAAAAATGTGCTAGTAAGTTATAGCTATGACGGAAGACTCACCTTGCTGATGGGAAAAGTCGGTGTGGCAACAATTTTGGTATTTTTCCTACCCTCCGCATATCTGCATAAGGAAGATTCTTCACGACAACCAATTTCCACAAACCAATGAATCCTGCTCTGTCTGGGGCATGTCCTTCTGCAGAAAGTGTTTGCATGGTAATCTCGTCCACGAACACGATGAAGCAAACATTCTTTCTTGACAATCGACTTATCTAAATGAATAGAGAAAACTCAGGTTAGAACAAGTAACAAGATATCAAATCCACCAATGTAATCCTGTGTAAGCCAGCCACTAGTCTACTGCTAATCCAGTAGTTCCTGTCGTTCAACAGTTAATTAAACTGCACCCACAAGTATCTATTCTATGTGCTCACAAGTTTCTGCTACTGTTCTATGTTTGTGCCACTAAAACTCAGTCTCCATGTATGCAAGGTAGGCTACTTTAAAGATACACAACTCACTGGTCATGGTTTCTAAATCTTAGATGTGGAAACGGTAAGGCCAAAAACATAAACATGCATCAATGATGGACAGAATCATACCATTTTATTGGCAGGAGGCCTCAAGCGATCAGAGTTTCCAAAGATGCATGAGCTAACAGCAATGTGGCATCTACTGATATAGTTAGTATCATCTTCTGTCAGATCAAACCCAGTGCTTGGAGATCCTTTGGGGCCTTTGACAAAGCCACAATGAATTTTCTTGTCTTGAACCAAGAAGGAGTCTTCTCGCTCCTGTAAACTCTGATGACCTGCAAATCTAGGCTCCCACTGTTCTTCTCCATTGGGTTTATCTTCGTTCTCTATGTACTGTAAGGAGAATCTAGCAGATTTTCGAGTATTCAAGGGCTCCACGATTTGCTGACTAGAATTCAATAGCTTCATCTCACATGAACCTGAAAGATTTGAACAAAAGAATGATGAGCAGTAAATACCCAAGCTAAGTCCTTAACCATCTAGTTACAACTAATCACCTGAAGACCTGCGACCTCGACCTCTTCTTTTTGTAACAGATCGTGATGTTTTCCCCGACTTACCACCCGTACTAACAAAAGAAGAATCCCCAAGTGACCTTTTTGAAGTACCTCCATCATCCTTTTCAGTATTATGTTTCTTGGTCATGGAATGAAAAACCTCGGTAGGCTCGTCTTTGTGTGGCTCTTCATTGTCCGCT